CTGAAGCCTTTGCCTCAGTCATATACAGTAGAGAAAGAAAAACTCACGTGCTATATTTAAGTAAAGGAAGATTGCTAAACAGGGTATCTCTTTCTGAAACTCTCCTTCAGTGGAAGCTTCTAGAGCAGCCTCAGGACAGTCTCGTCTGTAGTTTCTCACAGGAAGAGGATATTATTGGACTGGTCCACCAGCTGTAGGGCCTCAGTGGGTCAGGTTTAATCTGCTGGTCAGTACTCCACCTCAGTGTGTGTGGAGGTAAACTGCTGGTCTCAGTGGAGGCAGTGTGTCTCTGTGGTAAAAAAAGAGGATATGAACTGTGTTAGGATGTCACTGTGTTTCCCAGCAGTCTCTGCCTCTCTGTCTCTTTAAGACGTCCGCACAGTCCAGATGATGACTGGCCTTCATGGGGCCAATCTCTCTCTCCCCCAGGTATCCACATTTTACAGAACATGTTTGGCTGTGAACAGGATGAGGAGACTGGACATATCTGTCTCTGTCCCACATGTGGGACAGAGACAGAGCCAGAAATGACCTTTGGAAGAACTTTATTCACCGTGTTTGTATTGATTGCCTGAACAAGCTTTTGGACTATGGGAGGAGCTCTGTGATGAGAACAGGTAGAATCACATGACCTGATGTAGTTTTGTGATATGATTATCATTTTATAATGTGCTTGTGATATTACTATGAATGTGCGTCAATATATTGAGACCTAAAACTGAAATGGGTTCTTTTGTCAATATTGTCAAACATTTCTCTCCCTCTCTCTCACCTCGTTTTTTAAAACTCTGTTTCATTTTCTGACTTCTTAACCTTACTCCTCTCTGTGCAGACCTTCCCTCAGTGTCTCTCCTCCAGAAGTCTCCCTCCTCTCCAGTCAGCTGCCACGCTACAGGTTTCTACCCTGACAGCGCCATGATGTTCTGGAGGAAAGATGGAGAGGAGATTCATGAGAACGTGGACCACGGAGAGATCCTCCCCAACCACGATGGATCCTTCCAGATGAGCAGTGACCTGAACCTTTCATCAGTCCCACCTGAAGACTGGAGGAGGTACGACTGTGTGTTTCATCTCTCTGGTGTGAAGGACGACATCGTCACCAAACTGGGCAGAGCAGTTATCAGGACCAACAGGGGTAAGACTTCTGTCAGAAGTGACGGGTGTGAGAAAGACAAAGTGCCCACAAAAGTGAAGCTCTAAACAAAAGTGTGGTTTTATGTTGGTTTAGCTTTTATCATCCAGTTCAGTTAAGATTTTAACAATATTTTTAAAAAAAATTTTTGTTTTATTATTTCAAACCAATGCACACCTGCATGTGTGGACAGGAGGCATTATTAAATAGATGGATGTACTTCTTTTCGAACCTGCTTTGTCCATAATGGTCTTAGACTTATTGTTGTTTATTTGTTCAACAGAGAAGGCTTCTGACATGACCATTCCCATCACTGCTGCAGTGACTGTTCTTGCTGTCATCCTCATGTCTGCCATTGGAGTCATTGTTTACAGAAAGAGGAGAGGTAAGAGAGGAAAATGGAGAAGTTATCTTAATTTGGATTTGCAGTTTACAAAAAGAAAACTGACAGACCAGACTGACAGATTGTCTCATGGAATTTTTTCAAGTGGTCAGATCTTAAACATCAGGATAGATAGCGATGTGGTAATGCATTTGTTGTGGCTATGTAAGATTGATGACTGTAATATGACAATGATGAAACAGATTATACTTTGTTTTAGTACCTTTCACACCAAGGTTACATTCAAGCCAACAGATTCAGCTCCCTTTTCACTCTCTAACATACTTCTCACTGTGGAGCTTTGCCAGGGAGAATGTAAACTTAGGCTGCATGCTGAATAAGACCCAGGAAATAGCTCATCCTCTCGGTGATCGTTTGGAGGCGTCAGAATTCCATGGAGACTGTTTCATAACCAGTTAAATACTCATTGTAGCTGGTTAAGGTTAAAAAAACTGCCAAACAAACCTCAATTAATTTTATGAAACAACCAACAGAAAGACTGTAGCATGATGATAAAAAATGTATCAGGCAAAGGGTAGAGGGACAAAAGATAATTATTTAACGTGAGTAGGAGAATGAGTAAAGGAGGCGTTCATATTCAGTGGGAAAAAAATATATTCAGCCATTTACGACTTTTACAACTGAAATTATTTGTTATCTCTTTTTGTTTCAGCTGAATGCCCCCCATGTCGTGAGTAAAACTTGTTTTTATTCTATTTAATGTGGTCTGACATGCATTTGTATCAGGATCAAGATCAAGTTAGTGAGCCAGGTCTGACCGATGAAGATGTCTTTTGGGTCTGGATAAAACATCTCAAGCTGGCCCTGTTTCAGAAGCTCCTCATACTGAAAACTTTACNTGTTCAGTGTATAAAGTAAAGAATGATTATCTGAGAAGTAACAGAAGCTTTGCTGATGCTGCTGTCCAGCTGTTTGGTAAAGAGTGATTACTTCAGCAGCTTGCAGAGACCAAAGACATTAATAGTGAAACCAGAAAGAACACAGAATCATTTTTCCAGGAAGACTTCTTGGGTTTTCAGACATGTACATTTCTACTTTTAAGTTACTGGACCTGTTTTAACTTCAGTCGCCTTTTGTCTCTATACGTCATATTGTGCTTCAGAAAACTTAAGACCAAACTCAAACATGTTAACATTTGTTTTTGACAAGACATTACGTAGTAACTGTCTTCAGTACATGCATGTTAGTTTTTAATGTACTTAGTTGTTAACTGATTTACACTGGTGAACTATAAAACATCAATGTGTTAGTCATAGTTCTCAGATGCTAATTACATATAATAATAATAATAATAATAATACATTTTATTTATCAGCGCCTTTCAAGACACTCAAGGTCACTGTACATAGAGAATAAATAAATAAAAGCAACACAGCAGCAATAATAAAACATTCAGAAGTTAGCAGCAGGCAATGACATGTAGCAGTGATAGGCTTGTTTAAACAGATATGTTTTAAGGTTGGATTTGAAAGTGTCCAGGGATTGAATATTTCACACATATGTTGTGTTACGTGAACATATGTTGCAGAAATGGTCTCCACCTTGCATCAGTTCAAATGGCAATAGGAAAAAGTTATCATTCTGTTGTTTTTTGTTGTTGTTTTTTTTGGGAAACAAAATATTGTATAGTATTGTATAGCTACATTTTGCCACCTTTTAGTTTTAATTGTTGCTCTTTAAAGTTGCAATACAAGTTTAGCTATGATTTGTTGGGGCTGAACACAACCATGGTTTCAGCCCAACAAAACATAGCAAAACATCTTTGTCAATGTGTTATGAGTGCGACCTACTGTGGGAGATTTAAAAAGCAGCTGATAGCAGTTGGCAGCTAACTCAAAGAAGAAAACATCTGCAAACAAGGAAAACAATGATGTCCAGGAGCTCTTTACCCTCTAAGCAGAGGACAAGATCAACCGTCATATAACAGGGACAGTTATATGGTTACATTTCCTGATTACTCCACCAAATTCACAGGTTAAAACAATCTTTAACCATAAATATTCAGTCTGTATTTCTTTTAAATAGTTTTGCTGGAATCCCAACCAATACCCAGCATGTAATAATGTATGTGTTTGACAGTCAATGTTTTGCATTGTATTTTAGAATCATTATTGTTAAATAAAATTACTGTAAAGTCTAAATGCATTCATGTATGTGGGAGTTTTTTTCTGTTGTCAGAGAAAGTAGGTGTTAAAACTTCTGACCTATGAACTTTATTTGTCAAGCTTTGTCAGAGTCAGATGTTTTGTGGACACACCGTTTAAAGTGGTCCTCAGACTTTTTTTCCAATAACATACCCCCTTTGTTTTTTGTTTTGTTTTTTGATTTTGTTTGTTTGTTTTGTCAGCCAAGAACCCCTGACTAGCTCAGAGCATTTTTTGTAGAAAAAAAAACCCCACTACAGCGCACTGCTATCAGTGTCTGGTTTACTAAACTGTTGCATTCATAATTTAGTGATTTAACTGTTTTAAGAATAATGCATGACTGATATTAAGTAACATTTCAAAATCATCTCATGTACCCCATGGAGTACTCCAAAGTACCCTGAGGGTAAAAATGTGGTTATGTTTAGGCACAACATCCACTTAGTTATAGTTAGGAAAAAAAGACCATATTTTGGCTTAAAATATTTGGTGAAACACAAGTGGCTGGAAACACGGCCACTTGTAGCTAAAAAAAAAAAAATCCAGCTTGTTGTTTGTCTTGAACATTGGTCTGCCATTCCATCCACCACCTCCTCCACTTCCTGATGACAACATCAGCTTATATCCTACACCGATCAGCCAAAACATTCAAACCACTGACAGGTGAAGTGAATAACTTTGATTATTTAGTTCCAATGCATTGTTCTGCTGGGAAACCGTTGGTTCTGGCATTCATGTGGATACCACCCTTGGAACAAATAATCAAAGTTATTCACTTCACCTGTGAGTGGTTTTAATGTTTTGGCTAAACGGTGTATGTCACTTTAGAAACATTGATATGATACATATGAAACATAGAAATGTAACATGTCTGTGGTTTGTAGAAATGGGCAATGCCAACATTTTCTCCTGGCGACTGGGCTGGTGTTTTTTACAACCCAGGTCTCTGTAGGGAAAAAGAAGCAACACAGAGGAGATTCAAGTCTGACAGTTATTTATTGCAGGAGCAAGAACAAAATTAAAGTGAACATGATGGAGAGGAGAAGAGGCTAAATTTTGTATGTTACACGATACAATGTGTTTTGGACTTTAGCAGCAGACAAGCACAGACGGAGCTTCAGTGAAAACAGGTAGGAACAGGTAACAGAGTCTCAAACACAGAACCGGAAAATGACTAAAAATAATTGTTATCTTGAGGAGTAATTCACAGGTGAACCCGCCTTACATTCAAGAAAAAAAATATTCCCATCTCGTCAAACCAGGAAACAGCTTCGAACTGACTCTACTTCGTTCTCCAGCTCTACTTAATTTTCAAAAGAAGATGCATTTATTTCTCTTGCTCCTTTTTTGTCATGTTTCATCTTCAGGTAAGAGGACATTTAAAGTTTTTACTTAAACCACTGATTTAGCTTAGTTTGATTTAGCCTTCAAGCTCCTGTAGAGCTGGATAACACCATAACACCAACTCTATTTCTCTAAGTGATTAATTCATAAAGTTAACATGCAAAAGATGTTTCTTCATTAGCATCTTTCAAGACTACATAAAATAATTTAAATAGGTATTAAATGATTCATATGAAATTTAGTAAACAGATCTTGTTGCAAGTAAGAAGGTAAACACTTTCAGTGTTCGAGTGACTTCAAATTTCAGGGATACCATCATGAGGTGTGACCTGTAAGTGCTATCTTTTTATAGAGCTGTTGGAAACTGGCCACATAATGCTTGCTGTTCAAGACACAAATACTAATAATAAGAATAGGGCTTTGGAGTAGTCTTGTTCTTTACTGAGAAAATTCTGTGCTTAAGAAACTGACAACCAGTTATCCAGAATGATGTCAGAAAATTGCAAATATATGACCTGAAAATCTCTTTGTCCCACAGTGAAACACTCTTTCAGGGCTTTCTTCACTGCATCTTCTGGGGTCCAAAACTTCCCAGAGGTTGTGGCTGTTGCGCTGGTTAATGGCGTTCAGGCGGGTTACTGTGACAGCAAAATCAAGACAGCATTACCCAAACAGGACTGGGTGGAAAAATTAAGGGACGGGGATCCAAAATACTGGAGGATGTACACAGAATCATGTGCGATGTACCAGCAAATCTTTAAAGAAGAATTTAACATTTTGAAGCAGCGCCTAAACAAAACTGGAGGTATGTAACTGTTTCAATACACAGTCAGACACACAAACATTACTGAGACTGAGGAGAGGAAGAGAATATTGTTGGACTGGTCCACCAGCTGGTCAGGACTCCACCTCAGTGTGTGTGTGTGCGTGTGTGTGTGTGTGTGTGTGTGTGTGTGTCTGTTCCTGCAGCTCACATGAAGCCACAGTACCTTCAACAGTGGAAACAAACTGTTGGTGTCAGTGAAGGGAGTGTGTCTCTGTGGTGAAATGTGAACTGTGTTAGGATGTCACTGTGTTTCCCAGCAGTCTCTGCCTCTCTCTCTCTCTCTCTCTCTCTCTCTCTCTCTCTCTCTCTAAGATGTCCACTGTCCCAATGCTGATTGGCTGTAAGTGGCTTTCATCAAACCAATAACAGCAGAAGGTGTAGATCGTCTATTTTGTTCTCTATGGATCAGTGTGTCTCTGTGGTGAAATGTGGTATCAACTAGATGACTGGACTGTGATCTCACTCTGGTTTACTGGAGTCTCTGTTTCTGTCTCTCAGATGTCCACATTCTACAGAAGATGCATGGTTGTGAATGGGACGATGAGACTGGAGAGGTTTATGGATATCAACAGTATGGTAGTGATGGAGAAGACTTCCTAACATTTGACTTCAACACAGAGATATGGATCGCTTCAAAACCACAAGCTGTCATTACCAAACACTTTTGGGACAGACAAAAAGATAAAAATAAGTATTGGAAAGACTTCTTCACCCAGGTGTGTCCAGACTGGCTGAGGAAGCATCTGAACTATGGGAGGAGCTCTCTGCTGAGAACAGGTAGAATCACACGACCTGATGTAGTTTCATGATGAAATAACAATGTACAGAGCAATTTTCAGTCTCTAATGATCAGTTATGTAAAAGATAATACCTGAGGATGTGTCCATTATCAGGAATTAATGGCTGATGGGGAGGTGTGCGCATTGGACAGTTAATTACATTTAATATCACAGAAATGCTTTTGTTACTTAAGTACACTAAATATCAGATGCTTTAAGACTTTTACTTTAGTAATGTTCTAATAGGTGACTTAAACTGCAAATTCATCTTCTGGTAAGATATCTTTGCTTCTACTTCTACTTGATCCACCACTGTCTACCGCAGAACAAAGTAGGAAATAACAACAGTAAACACAATTAAAATAGAACAGAAAGAATAGCCATATGCAGGCTACTTATGTACTTATGGTAGGAACACAAATATCAAGTGAAAATGACCAAATCTACAAAATTAAGCAGGCAAAACACTTCACTTCTGAAACAATCCTGGTATGGTATTGCATGTCATGGCATGGCATGGCAAGGCATGGCATGGCATTGTATGGTATGGTATGGTATGATGCCGTGTGGCAGACAGAACAAAACTGTGTCATAGTCATAGCAGCTGGAATGTAGTGCACCTGCGTCTGGTAGAATTGTCCCTCCTGGCTCCTTTATAGTCAAGGTGGCAGTAAAGATGACGAAAATGGTTGACTTATTCATCTTGTATCATGCCTAACTTCAGTGCATCATAAAATATCGAACATGGAATTAATCTGCCAATGCTCTGGTTTAGAATGTGACCGAACTTTTCTACTGGTGTCAGTTTTTGAGTCACAAACTCTGTGGCTCAAAGAAGGCCAAAATGTGGCCTGCAACAGACTTGCGGACCTTACTGACCGGTTAACCAGGTTTTTTAACCATTTGGAATCACTGCGACCATGAGCATACAGTCACAAGTGTGTAATTTGCGAGATTAGCTACGAACAGATGGATACACACACGCAACCAAACGCATCAGACTGGCAGCTGTCATGGCAGCCTGTGTGTTACAGTCTCCATTCTGTGGTGTTCAGAGGATGAGGCACTGATGGACTGCACTCAGCATTGTAAATAAATTGTAAACAAAACTGTTCCTGTTGCTATGGTTACTCATATTAGATACAGGCTGATACTATCAAGTGCAACACACACCACCACCATACGCTGCGCGTCAAAACGTCCTCCTCCATTATATTCTATGAACAAACCATGGAACAAACCCACACCGGCGCCAGCCGACACGCCACGCCGCTCTGCCCACTGCTCTATTTCCAGTGTGGCTGGCGCTGCGAGAAAAGCCTTTTATGTACATCTCAGCCGCCGTAGTATCACTGCCCACGTTATTAAGTTTTTCGAATTTTTAATAAGACGATTTTGATAAGAAACAGAGATATTGGATAAAGCGAGATACCCCACTCAGCTCACTTCCTGATTCAGTGACGTCGGCGCCACGCCCCCGTAGGAGACTTGCAGCAGCTCTGAATGTATTGTCGTCAATGAGGAAAATGAACGTGATCACAATTTATGGTCAATTCTTTCGCCCTGTAGTCACTTAAGTGAATATTAGCAAGTCGTTGTTGCCTTAAAGTTTTTCTTCTTCTTCTTCTGTTACTAGCAGTTGGCAACCGTTGGCAACTAGTGTAGGTACAGCCACCTAGCGGGCTGGGGTGGGAAATACACGTTAGTGTTGACGGTGCCGCTGCCAATGTGTGTTGGGTGCCACAGCACCGCGCCGGCGGCAGTGTGTGTTGCACTTTATGTAGTCAGCGCATTCATTTAGAATGGTGAATGAACTGTTTCACCGGAACTACGTAGTAGGTGTCCTCGATCAAGTTTTACTTTTTACACACATTTCTGTCTGTCTGTCTCTGCAGAGCTTCCCACAGTGTCTCTCCTCCAGAAGTCTCCCTCCTCTCCAGTCAGCTGCCACGCTACAGGTTTCTACCCAAACAGAGCCATGATGTTCTGGAGTAAAGATGGAGAGGAGATTCATGAGAACGTGGACCACGGAGAGATCCTCCACAACCATGATGGATCCTTCCAGATGAACAGTGACCTGGACGTGTCATCAGTCCCACCTGAAGACTGGGAGAAGTACGAGTGTGTGTTTCAGCTCTCTGGTGTGAAGGACGACATCGTCACCAAACTGGACAAAGCAGTGATCAGGACCAACAGCGGTAAGTGGCTTCAACATCAGGTCCATCCAGTAGTGGAGACAAATGAATGTGAATGTTATGTTGTGGTTCCAGTTTCTCCCACAGAAGTTCCTGCTGGTCCTGTCATTGGAGTTGTTGTAGGACTGGTTCTGTTGAAACTCTGCATCACTGGACTCTTCATCTGGAGAAACAACAATCATGGTAAGGAAGAAAGATGTTTTACTCACCATGAGGCCAATTCACTTTACTGTTTCAGCACAAAATGCAGACTACAAGATAATATTTAAAGGGGGGGGGGGGTCTGAAAAAACGAATAATGATGTGACCTGGCTAATATTCAGTACCTTGACAGAATATAGTACTGCATTTGGCTCATGTAGTGAAAGTTTCTCATATCTTTCAGTGTGATATACCTGATAATCTCATTAACTTTTGATCTTAAATGTTTATTGATGTGATCATTCATATTACAGGTTTCAAGCCTGCAAACTGTAAGTATTATGTCAGATTATCTGCGTTTCCCTCTCTCTTTGTTGAAATAAATACAGTTTATAGTTTTAAAATCAACTACTAACACTTTTCTTGTTTAGCTTCAGACTCTTCTTCCTCTCAAACCACTTCAGTCACAGACACAGCTCTTGATTGATCACAGTGAGTACTTCATCATGTCGAATACTCTGTGCAAATACTGTGTACGCTTACATGCACACTAATATTCCACTGTTATTCAGAATATGACAATATTCTGAATTTGATGCAGGTCAAAAAACAGAATATATTGTGCATGTTAATGTAGTGACTGTATGTAGAATCTCTCCTTTGTTGCTCCTCCTGAAACTAACTTCCACATACTGACATATTGATATAATACTTTTTAATACTCTCTCTTTGATAAAACTGTGAATCCTTCAGGTGTACAATAACTGTTCTCAAGCAAGCAGCTGATATTAATTATATTATACACTAAACAGCTTGAACAAAGATGTCAAAATTCTACATTTTGGACCAAACATACTGCAAATAATATGAAAGCAAATACTGTATAATTCAAAAACTAAATCCAGGTCTTGTTGTATTTTTTACTCTCTCTCTCTTTACAGCTATCCAGTGAAGATAAGAAGGACCAGTCAGGAAGTCAAATGATACATAAAACTGGTCAAGTGTGTATTCAAGATCAGATTTACATGTTTCAGATGTTCAGTGTATAAAGTAAAGAATGATTATCTGAGAAGTAACAGAAGCTTTGCTGATGCTGCTGTCCAGCTGTTTGGTAAAGAGTGATTACTTCAGCAGCTTGCAGAGACCAAAGACATTAATAGTAAAACCAGAAAGAACACAGAATCATTTTTCCAGGAAGACTTCTTGGGTTTTCAGACATGTAAATTTCTACTTTTAAGTTACTGGACCTGTTTTAACTTCAGTCGCCTTTTGTCTCTATACGTCATATTCTGCTTTAGAAAACTTAAGACCAAACTCAAACATGTTAACATTTGTTTTTGACAAGACATTATGTAGTAACTGTCTTCAGTACATGCATGTTAGTTTTTAATGTACTTAGTTGTTAACTGATTTACACTGGTGAACTATAAAACATCAATGTGTTAGTCGCAGTTCTCAGATGCTAATTACATATAATAATAAGAATAATAATACATTTATTTATCAGCGCCTTTCAAGACACTCAAGGTCACTGTACATAGAGAATAAATAAATAAAAGCAACACAGCAGCAATAATAAAACATTCAGAAGTTAGCAGCAGGCAATGACATTTAGCAGTGATAGGCTTGTTTAAACAGATATGTTTTAAGGTTGGATTTGAAAGTGTCCAGGGATTGAATATTTCACACATATGTTGTGTTACGTGAACATATGTTGCAGAAATGGTCTCCACCTTGCATCAGTTCAAATGGCAATAGGAAAAAGTTATCATTCTGTTGTTTTTTGTTGTTGTTTTTTTTGGGAAACAAAATATTGTATAGTATTGTATAGCTACATTTTGCCACCTTTTAGTTTTAATTGTTGCTCTTTAAAGTTGCAATACAAGTTTAGCTATGATTTGTTGGGGCTGAACACAACCATGGTTTCAGCCCAACAAAACATAGCAAAACATCTTTGTCAATGTGTTATGAGTGCGACCCACTGTGGGAGATTTAAAAAGCAGCTGATAGCAGTTGGCAGCTAACTCAAAGAAGAAAACATCTGCAAATGAGGAAAACAATGATGTCCAGGAGCTCTTTACCCTCTAAGCAGAGGACAAGATCAACCGCCATAAAACAGGGACAGTAAATAATAGTTATTGCCCTGTTATGCCATTGTTATCATTTATAAATTGCTGTTGACTTGCATGTTATATGTCACATTACAGACTGTTGTGTTACATGTCACGCCCGTCATGTCACAGAACTAAAAGAGACTGACAGATGGCTTCCTGCTATAAAAGTGAAGAAGTAACCATACTTGATGTGCATAATATTTAAATGTAAACATTTTATTTCACATTGTAGGATTGTATTCCACATTTTGTGAATTTTTATGAATCCTTATTTTATTTGCTATTTGTTATGTATTTATTCATTCATTTACACTGATGCAACATTGTGTTTCCTGTCAAAGTTTCTAAGCATGTTAAATGAGACAGACAGTGATGGTGGTTGGGCTCCTGAGTGGGTCATGGCAATCATGAAGTTTCCAATCAAGTCAGTTGGACCAGCCACTGTTGTTTAGCCTGAGCAGATATAATGAAAATATAAAGCAGCAGAGTATCAGCTCTGTGTCTTGGACAGTGAAAAATTTAAAGGCAGCTTAAAGATGTGTTAGGTGAGGGTTAAAGAATGGTGTCACCTGTCAGAAAAGCACAGCCGCAGGACCTGATGAATCAATACTGAGCTTCCATTGCAATGTTTGCCTAAGATTTGGCACGTTATTCTGTGTATTGATAACCATAAATGAATGTCAAATTCAAATGTATTTCTCTTTCTGATGTTTTGCTTTTCAGTGAAGCCCCCAATAAAAAAAAGACTCTTAAGTAAGTCTGAGCACTCATTTGTTTTAAGACCATGAGAGTTCATCACACACACTGCAAATGGATACAATACAAACAAATAAATAAAAATTTTCACCAGTTTGGTGACACATGCGCAGCATTTGGAAAGTACTGCAAGATGCTTAGAATACAACAAAAACTGTTTCCAAGGGATACTAAAAAGTAATGCACATGGCTGGGACGCTTGTTTCCATAGTTTGTGTATTGTGTCTTATGAAGTTACTGAAGCTGTCTGTCTCTCACTGTAATGGATTCAGATATTATGATAATAAGCAAAAGGCTGATTCTAGGATAACATAAGATATCTGCAATAATATCTTCATCACAATGTTAAAATGAGCCAAAAACAAAATTTTGAGGTCATTCATTCTGGCAGCACTTTTTTTAAATGCTGCACGTCACAAAATTGATGTTTTCATGTATCTGCAAAATGATGAAAATGTTTTTTAATATGCTTTTGTTGTGTCCATGTGTTTTCTTAATTTGTGGTGTGTTGTGCTCTCAGGGCCACCATACAACTGTGACTGTAAAATGAATATATTACCTGAGCATTCAGTATTCTTATAGAGGAGTTGGATGGGTAGGTTGATATCAGTGTCAAATCAGTGTCAAATCTGAGTTAGCTCCTAGACAAGGTTACTTAAGCTTTGCGTGAACACTGGAAGTCAGGAGAAAACAGCCACCCAACAGCCTAGCTCTATGAAAGATGCCTTCTAACAACTTGGAACCATAGACTGTAAAAATGGTAGACGTAGCTTCCATGAAGTCACCCATCGGTTTGTGTGGTTTTGAAGCTTCGGGTTTGGCATTTCCATGAACATCTTGTTTTTTTGGAGACAGAAGTCACCATATTTGGGTGAGAGGCTGGCGCTGGATGAACGAGGGGTGGATCTGACTGAAGCCAACGACAGCCTGTCCCTCAAAGTGGCCCGCCCTTAATTATGCTTAACTTTAAGCATTTATAAAATGTAAACAGGTGAGTTATATAAAAAATTCATCCCCTGTTGTCTTGAACAGATAATTTAGCTTTAGAGACCAAAACTGTTTCTTGCACCAGGGTGTAAACATGTTTATTTTAGCTGTAAAGTTGGGCATTTTAACATGGGGGTCTACAAGGATTGACCAGCTTGTAGAACCAAATGGTCCATTAAAAAACTGCAATTTTTGGCACTTAGGCTATGTGTGGGCAAAATTTTTCAGCCTCGGAAGGCTGTGACTTCAAACATGGCTGAGTTGAGATATAAATGAATAAATAAATTTAGATTGTGGATTAAAGAGGAACTTCACAATGTTTATGTTTGGTTTTTTCACTGCAAATGTTATTTTCACTGGGAAAATATTGTGACGCAGAAGTTTAATAGCCACAAAACTATAATGTTATTTATATTTATTCAATAGCTTCAAAGATAGAGTGGCTGTATTTTCACTATGTTGTCATTTTTGTTATAAAGATGTTGTTTGGAGATATTCTGGGAGGGTATTGTGGGTTTTTTTCAAAGGAGTGTTCATTGGCTTTATTACTAATGCTTCTTTAAAAAAAAATGATATCTAAGATTCACCCCTTCCTCGCCTCTATAAGTTTCGTACAGTCCCTAATTTAGTTATGTCAGAATAGTGATGGTAAGCCTTGAGAAGCTTCTGGGCTTCAAAAGTAGCAGCACAGTGACATCTGGTGACTTGCAGAACTCACTGCAGTCCTAATGTGCTGATCACGAGGTTAAACTGCAAAACTTTTAGAGAATTAAAACATTTTCTGACGCACCAGCACCATGTGAAGCTTCAGATGTCACCAGTCACATTGTAGGCTATACCTTAATTGATACGAGCTCCGGCACAATGGACTGGAACAATGACAGGAGGAATAAGTTTCCCAACGTCAGTGTGAACCGCCCAACTCTCAATAAAACAAATACACTCCCACCTTACTCGGCGAGGAAATAGCACAGAAGAACAAACAGTTAAACCAGCTCGGTGCTTTACCCACACGTCTTGATCAAAATAAGATGAAAAGGTCACTTTTGTTTCTTCTTTTCTGTCATGTTTCATCTCCAGGTAAGATCACACTCTCAGAGAGCTCTTACTGTAACTTAGCCTAAAAACTCCCAGCAAGGAGTCCTAGCTTAGGAGTGATTTATGAAAATTCTTAGGGCAACTCTGAGCAAGGAGGGGCAGAAACTGTTACCTTAGTGAGGAGGTGTGGTTGACCCCGTTGCTAGATATGACGAGTTGTGCTGGGCAAAAAAAACGCACACGTGATAATGAGCGTAGAATGCATATGCCTAATCATAGATTTAGTCTCCATGAAGAAATGGTGTGATTATGAACATCACTGTTGAATACATTGTAAATCAAAATAGCCTACAAAATATTGGAAACACGGGCCAACCGAGTCATTCACGTGCTGATAGTTATTATATATTATATTATTATATACTATAACATTTATAGTGAATCTATTTGATATTAACGGATGTGTGGGTGTGGGTGGGGGGGTGGCTTAGCTTTAATCAATATCTGTGATTGCTGGCCAATCTATTTAAGTGGCAGGTTTGCGCAAAAATATTTAAGAGGGAATTTTGGCCCCGGTGTCATGGCGCAAGCCATGAGGCAGGCATGGGAGGACATAGAGCAGCAGATAAACGCCGCATTCTCTTTCTCAGGCCAATCTGGCACTCCTGGCATCATGTGTGGAGCCTGGCCATTTTGCAACAATGATCAAAATCATGTCAGCACTAAAAACAATGGGCATTGATGCTGTGGTGCTGCTTTCTGTTTATAAAAACGTCATCATTTTGAGATGATGCGGATGTTGGTCCCATCAATGAATGCTCTTTTTTGAGCCTGCAAGGGGTGGACATCCAGTGGAAATGAAATGAACTGTGTCATAATATAAGGCTGTAACTGTTTGTTGATCACTCTGTTGATGGAAGGCTGAGACAGACCCAAGTCATCACTGCTGCACTGTTGCATTTTTCCAGTTGCCAAATACATCAGCGTAGAGATCACTTGCATTTCTGGCATTAAAGCATCACTGCACTCGGTGGGGGATGTGAGAGCATTTCTAATA